CCTGCCTTTAACGGCGGAGTTTCTCCGCGCTTCCCTTCATCTCCCGGGGATAAATGATAAATCTGGCTGTGTAACCGGGGGGTTTCTGTCAGCTTCCCCGCTTACCGACGTGACCCCCGAGGAGTGCGCCGATACGTGACCGCTCGGCACCGGGCGAAGGGAGGGACACAAACACTCGAGGCGGTAAAAAACACGGCAAACGCGTCTCTTCGCACCCCCAGCCCTGTGGAAGCAGACGCTGGAAACTTTCCGCTGCGCGCCCGTACGGAGCGAGCGCGGCTGCGTTCCCAGCCCTGCGGCTCAGGTGCACCGCTCGCGTTGGGCGTTCAGTGCTTGGTGCTCGGCAGTGGCTTGTTTCCCCCTGCTCTCCTCAGCAGCCTGAGGTGAGAGGGAAGGTGCAAGGAAATGAGGGGTGATAGTCGGTAGTTTGTAATCTTTTTCTGCCCCTGTTTTGAGTTACGCTGATACATTCCCAAATCGCCCATCTGCACACTCCTTCAGTAGGGCATTTCCAGTGTAATCCCATCAGCCTTTAGTCGTGAAAGTAATCCTTCTCTGAGCAGCGCTGTTGAAATCGGGGTAGGGTTTGCTTCTTAGGTCATCAATTCTCAATTTTGACCTTGTAATCTTAATAAGCAATTGTGAACAATATCCAGAGATCATATTCTTCAGAGCTAAATGAGCTACCCGAGGCTCTATTTCACTGTAATGTAGTGGCAAAGCATTGCAAAAGAGTTTTATACATCATTATGGTTCCACCCTCCCCCAGTTTTTTTAGATAAAGTTTGCAAGGTGCAGAAGTCAAATATCAAATGTAAAGCGTGGTTAGCACCTGACAGGTGCTTTATTAATTTGACAAAAACAAGTTTTGAGAAAACTGTTAAAGGAAATGCACTGTATGTCATTCTTTGTATGTTACATGGGAGCAGCTCTCAAGATATGAGTAAACTTCCATATAATCTATGAAAATATTTTTATATTAATGATGCTATAAGAGATTTTGTCCTGGAAGAACCTCTCGAACCTCATGACTGTTACTGCTTAACATAGTTTGTATGTTACTGAACAGAGATGACAACAAAACCAAGGATCGTAAACGGTACATTTGGGCAACTGTATTACCACAGCACCTGATAATAAATGTGAGGTAGCGTATCTTAGAGAAATATTTATCTCCATAATATACAAACTCACTAAAGCGCTCGATTCTTAAATCTTTCCTAATCGACTGTGAGAAATCACTGCTTTTATATCAAGATATATGAAGTGGGTGGATTACTGAATTGCAATGTAAGCTCCAACACAACACATTTGACTTTATTTCAGCATGATTGTTAAAGCAAGTGTAGTGCAGTTATAACCACAATTTAGAAACAAATTTTGTTAAATCTCAGAATAGAAATACTTCACTGTCTTAACATTTGCTAAGAAATCTCAGCTTTTTAACAGCTTCTAGGTTTAGAAGAAAATTTTTGCACTAATAATGATATGCTTTTGCATTATTTTTTGATATTTCAATATTTTTCCTTTTTTCATTGCAGATTATGTTTATTTTGAAAATTCTTCCAGCAATCCATATCTCATTAGGAGAATTGAAGAACTTAACAAGGTACACAAGTATCTAAGATTCTTGCTTGACCTTTGACAGCAGTCAGTGCACTTACCAACAACTGAGAATGCTTTCCATCCCATAAGACTTCTGTTGTGGTAGAATTTTCTGGGGGTTTTTTATTTGTTTTTGGTTTGGTGGGGTTTTTTTACCTTCTTGAGATTTGCTATGTATTTTGCGTATGTTTCAGTTACTGAAATCTTGCTGTGTGATATACTGTAATTCTGTCCTGTTACCTAAGGAAGCAGCCAGTTGATCATTCCTGGTGAATAGGAGTAGTCTGCTGTAAAAATTTCCAAACAAATCCTATGAATGCTTGAGGAAATGAATTAACTTAATTCTCTGTGTGGTGGCGACACTGTGAATCCATCTGGAATGATAGTGATCGTGTAATGTGTCTGCTTTTGGATGTATGTGTAAAGAGCTAGCAGGTATCAGTGAGACTTTGCAATGATCAAATGATAGAATATGTGAGTTCTGTGGCTGTTTATTGCTCTGCTTATTGGCAGCTGGGAATGAAGGATGGGCTTTTGAATAAAACGGGAGACTGTATTCTCTTGTCTTTATCTTGAGTGTATTTTTATAAAATGTGGAGGCTTTTCAGAGTGTCATTTTGGGGGAAATATGGTATATTTTTCTTCCTTCTTGTACTACTAAGAATGTTGTAGGATTTTTTTTTTTTTTTTTTAGCGTGGCATATTTTTACTGTTCCATCAAGCAGTTTTAAAACTTACTGATACATTATGTCAAAAGTTAATGATCAAAATGCCTATCATGATTTAAATAATGATAAAGATTTTTTTTTCCTGTGGTTAGAAAGTGAATTAAAAATTTCATGACCTGCAAACGGTTTTCTTCTTATTAATGTAACATAACACTATTCCATAGCAGATATCACCCACGTTACGTGTTAGTGCTGTCCAACACAACATCCACTGAACTTGTGCGTGGCAAATCATTTTAGACTTTTATTGGAGAAGAATATTTTTTATTTACAGTAATTGAAGTGATTCCAATCATATTCTTGTATGTAATGTTTATTATCTTTAAACTGCATTGCTATAATTTAATCTTGCTCGTGGATGGTAGAGCAGAGTCATGTATTGATTTTTTTTGTTTTTTAAGGAAGAGTTTAGAGGATATAGTCCAGATATCATAGTTATGAATTATGTGCTTTCATGTGTTAAAGGCACTGAGCAAACATGGAGATGTTACGCAAATATGTAATAAAATGCCTTGGTTATCATTTTACCGGAGATAAGATGCTTTCTTTTTATTGGTAAGAAATGTCATTAAAACATCATACCTTTCAGTGCTACATCTTGAATTTTAAATAAGTAACTCAAGGTAATTAATTGTGTACTTTTCATAACAAGAAAGAGGGTACTGTTCTTCAAATATTAGTAGTTTCTTTACATTATCAAGCTAAAGAGCACGATCCTTGTAAAGAGTCATGAAAACAACTGTGAACTAAATAGCTCTTTTATCTTATAAACAGAAGTGAATTTTTAAATAAACCATGTTATACTAAATGTGATTCCAAAAAAAATGCCAGAGTACTTTGAAATACACATTTCTTTCTAAAGCTGGGTTGCCAAGAAGTGTTCGCCAGCTTCTAATATTTCTTAAGGATTCTTACGTTAACATGATGCTGGCATTACATGTCTAAACAGCTGAATAATATAATCATTTAGTCCTAAGAATTTATATAATCAATACTGTTACTTGATCTGAAATTGATACTGGCCTGTGTCAGGAAGTTCTTACTTATTTGAGTAATTCTGTCGATTTAAGCCTGACTGATCATGTGAGAACTACTAATGAGAGAAAATTGCAAGCAGAGGGCATCTAATTTGTATTACTCAGCTGAGGAAGAGTACATTCTGACTTGATTTATCTTTCTTTTGTAGACTGCCAATGGAAATGTGGAAGCAAAAGTGGTTTGTTTTTACAGGAGAAGAGATATCTCCAACAGCCTTATAATGCTTGCAGATAAGCATGCTAGTAAGTAGATTGTGTAGGGCATTTTTGCTTTCTATCACAGCCTGTTCAGTTTCTGCAGCTGCTTAAATTTGCATTTCTTTGGCACGTGGAATATGTATTTATATTATGCATTAATTAATATCCAGTTAGATGCTTAGCATTATGGGATACTGGCCCTGCTCCTAGTAGTGGCTTCTGGGACTTAAGATGTATTAAAGTGATTGAAAGTCTCCATTTGAAGGAAAAAAGGAAGTTTTTTTAATCTGAAAGATACAGCTATATTTCTTTTTTTATGTCAAAAGTAAATCTTGGGTGTAAGTCGATTTAAGCTTAAGAGTGTGAGGATTTGATTTGACTTTTGAGTTGGACATAAACATGTATTGCTTACATAATCATTTACTTACGTAAAGAATGAAATGTATCATTGGAGACTGACAATCACTGGTGATTGTAAAATAAATGTTATGTGTATTTATGCTAAATTTAGTTATTAATAAAATAGTAGTAAGCATCATCTCATTGATTTTTCAGAAAAGCAACAGGTGGTAATAGGGGAAAAGAAGTCCCATTTTTGTCATGGACTTAACTTTTTTTGGTTGCTGCCATTTGGTATGCTATTTTTCTGTAACTTTATAATTAAAAATATAATTCTGAAGACAAAAACAATCTAAAAAACTGAGATGTTTGAGAAAATAGTTATTTGCAAAATATTTCACTCATGTTTGTAAATAACTGGTGTTAAATATGTCAACATCCAGTAAATTTCTTGCTATATATTGTTAAATAACATTTTGATTGTAAATGGTACCTGAGTTTTCAAAATAAATATATGAATAAGTGACATGGGGATTATAAATCTCTGTTCTCTAATTTATTGGCATGAATCTTAAAGGCATTACCTAATGCTGTATTTTGTGTGCAGGTATATGATGGAGTAGTTAGGTGCCTAAAAAAAACCCTTACAATTTGTTTAATGTCAAATTCTGATAATTTTACTCATACGAGTACCGTTAGTGAAGAGAAACAGCCAGCTTTTGGCATTTGTTTTGTTCTTTCATTAATCCTAGAGAAGTGGAGGTGATTTGAGTATGTAGTGTGAAGTACTAGCTTGGTTTTTAAAGAAAGAAGATACATCTTGCTTATCTTCTAAGGCAATGATTTATTTAAATGTTTTTCTAATATAGTTGGGTACTATAATACAGTATTTTTTATCTATAATAATTTTATAGTTATTGGTGACCTATTTTATGGTAGTCTTCCCCCACAATCATTATGTCTTTCGTGTTCTTCCATATGAAATATATAGAAACATAGAACTTTCAGTGAGCTTCACTAAGCTTTCTAGCACATTTTTTTGTTTTTCTTTTCTAATGGAGGGGGCAGGGAAGGATGTAGAGGGTAAAAATTTTACTGGAAACACAATAATTTGTTTTTAATTTTATTTTTAAAACATGAATCTTGTAAATATTTTTGGTTGGCTTATTTTTTAGAACAGGGTGTGTTAGTGGGCATCATTCAATCTGGAAAAGTGAATAAGATTTTTCCATTTCCTTTGTGAGTTTTAGATTGCCATTTTGTCAGCACTTTGATATAAAGGACTTGTTGACGGTCTGTTGCTCTTCCACTATAGCATACTAGGGGTTTGTTGGTGTCAGTAGGAGTACCATGGAATCTTCCATCACATTTTCGCTGTTGAGATTCTCTCGCAGTTTTCTAGTGGAAAAATAGAAATGTAATTTCTAGCTGATTCAACAAGCATCTTTAGAATGCCTCTGTCTCACAGGTCGTAAGTCTTCTAACCCAGTGTTCTTATGGATCAGATTTCTCTGTGGACGTTTTCTCTGTACATGTTTTCCTTCTGGCCAATCTGTAGAACCTGTACAGCTAAGTTGTCTTACGAGATATATATTGCAATTACAGGGGACAGCACATTGTGAAGGATTGCTTGCCTGGGTCTACATGCAGCTCATACAGCAGATGTAGTGAAATGTCAAATCAATTTAAATGTTTTGATTCTGGAATACCACAGTGTTCTGTTTAAAAATATGATGTATGTAAACAAAATATTTGTGTATTTATAAATTGAATGTTTTGGGAATGTTTTATACAGCTAAACATGTTGATGCTTCAACACTTTGTTGTGGTGTAACCTGGCAGGTAGCTAAAACCACCACACAGCCATTTGCTCACACCCCCTGCTACCCCTGCAGCAGCATGGGGGAGAGAATTAGGGGGGAGAGGGGAAAGTAGAACTCGTGAGTTGAGATAAAGATAGTTGAATAGGACAGGGGAAAAAAAAATAATAATGATAAAAGAATATACAAAACAAGTGATGCACAGCACAATTGCTCACCACCCGCTGACTGATGCCCAGTTAGTCCCCGAGTTGTGGTGCCTCCCCGACCAACTCCCCCAGTTTATATACTGAGCATGATGTCGTATGGTATGGAATATCCCTGTGGCCAGCCTGGGTCAGCTGTCCTGGCTGTGCCCCCTCCCAGCTTCCCGTCCACCCCCCGACTTCTCGCTGGCAGGACAGAGTGAGAAGCTGAACGGTCCTTTACTGCTCAGCAACAACTGAAAACACCAGCATGTTATCAACATTATTTTAATCCCAAACCCAAAGAACAGCACTATACCAGCTATCAGAAAGAAAATTAATGCTATCCCAGCTGAAACCCGGACACGCTTCTACCTGGTTTGTTACAAAATAAATGCTAAAAGATACGAGTTTCTTACAGAATGAAAACTCTAGTTCAGTCACTGGTTACTCCAGTGTATGTGTCTAGAGAAGTCTTTTAAGTATAAGATCTGCTTGTTCTTTTCTAACAGAAGAGGTTTTGTATTGGTAGCAATTATTTTTTTTTTCTTTATGATCAAGAAAACTGTCCTGAATAATGCACTGCTGAAGATTTTGGTAGGTGGGGATTGGGTTTTTTTGGGTGAGACTTCAATTTCTGAAGGTTGCATTTTGTGATGTAGGTATGGTCCCATTTAATAAGCGAAGAAGATAGCTTTGTAAGAAAGTGTTTTGGAACTTTTAAGAACAGATTTTCAATAACTTGAAAAAGTTTCAGAATGTTTGGGAAAAATGGAATGAAGTAGATCTGTGACACTATCACTAGTAAAGAGTCAATATGCTGTTTTTTGGGGGTGGTAGTGTTTGCTTTTTAAGTTGTCTTCAAAAAAGTTTAAGGATATAAAGAGAAATTGGGCGGGGGTGAGTTTTCCTTAGGCCATTCTAAAATACTCAGGTGCAGAGGAGTTCCCATGATTTCAAAGCATCTGACACTAATCTCTGAGGAAATTGTATTTACTCTGTTTTTTCTCTGGTGTTTCTGGTGGAAGTTAGTTTTAATGAGCATTTTTAGTCTACCAGTAGCATGTATGATGTCAGTCTAGATATGGGAGTAGTTCTATAAGCTGACTGTAGCCACTGAAATCCAGGGGTTTGGAATGTTTATGCGCTCTTGAAGCCACTACATTTTTCTTCCTTTGATTTCTTTTACTATAAAATAGAGTTTATGATAAGACCAACTTGAAAGACAAAACAAAGTACTGGCCAAGATCAGCTTCTTGATCCTATGCAGCCTCCTGAACTGAGTAGCGGACTTCTGCAGCATTAACACCCACCAGCTCTTAGGTTGCAGCCATTACCATAGGGTCACTGCAAGGGGGTCATTCCTTTCTTTGTGCAGCAGAGTAAGGCTTGCTTCATGGGGAAAAGAAGGAAAAGAGATGAATAGAAGACAGCAGGCAGTGCAAGAGCTATTGCAACAGATAACTGAAGTACATAAGCAAATGAACTTGGAGAGATGGGACAAAAACATTCAGCTCGTTAAAATGGGTGAAGCAAACATAAAGGGGTGGCATAGGGATGTTTTCTAACCAAGTGGTCTGAAATTGCCAACTGTAGCTGGATCTATAAAATTTAGAGGATCCTTTATCTAAGGTGGAGTTGATGTAAATATTTTAAGGCAAGGTTTTAATAGCTGGGGAGGGAGGAACTATACTAGCTCTGTTACCAGAACTGGGTTTGGGTTACAGTGAAAGGCTCAAAGTCTGTATTTCCTTCTTTTGTAATAAACTTATGCACTATTACTTTCTTGAAGCTGAGGAGGGTGGCCTGAGTGCTTGATGCCAATTTTTAGTTCTTTACATTACAAATTCTTTATCTGGTCATGTGCTATCATGTAGCACTGTGTTTGAAGTCTTTCTGTTATTGCAAGTCCTCAAATGTCTTTTGCCTAGTCAACCACCTGGGGAGGATTTAAAACAAAAAAATTCCTGTTGTCAGAGGCCTTTGTCTTCTGATTTATTAAGAGACCTTGCTTCAACTTAGGTGTGCTGAGCTCCTGACTAAATGCCCAGAATTTTTCTGGGCCTATGATAAAGCCCATGCACTATGTATTTTTTCTTATTAACAAAATTGATGGAATGAGACAGGAGTCAGTTTGGAAAAAAAACAACTGAGGCATATTGGTTTAAGTGACCAAGACATCAAAGGTAAAACTGCGATTTTTCTAGATTACAGAAGCTGTAGTCAAAATCTCCTTTTTTCAATCTCAATTGCTCTTTGTAGAGATTATGTACTGGCTTTACTTCTCATAGTTGCACTTTTTTTTAGGACTTTTCTTAGCCTTTGGCTCTTGAACAGTCATGTTCCATGTCACATTGCTTTGCAAAATGGTGTTTCTGCTACAGAATTTTTGTACACAATAGATTTCTAGGAAGAAGGGAAGAGTCCTGCTGGTGATCTAGTGATTCCTGTTGAACAGCTGGAGTCTGTACTCAGTTCTGACCTTGGTATGACACTGATGTATTGTGATCAGAAACAAATCAAGTATTCTGTCTGTACTTTATTTTCTTTATCTGCAAAGTAATGCTCTTAATAGAAGTTCTTATTACAGCTGGTGAAAAATATTTAATATGTCAGTATGTTTTTGTAGCTCCCATTAAAAGATTTCAAAGTGCCTTACAAATAAAAACTAAGAGTTTATTTAGTATATTAATGTCAAGAA